TCTGGCATAGAACCTCTTCTGAATGAACTGGAGCCAAGGCCGAGTGTCCCGAAGTGCAGGGAGGACACCAAAAACGCTCAGAGGACTGACTAGATTCAAGACCCAAAGTTCAAGATTTCTCACTTCCTTGGAATAAAGCACATGACCCTCTTTTGCTTTTTGCAGTCACACTGGAGACATGCATATTGCTTCTCAAACAATCCTGATATAAACTGGTGTGTAATCGCGACCTGTGTCCCTGGATAGGAGCCAGAGCTTCTCTTAACAGCTTTATTGAGGTATAATTTGTGTACCATAAAATTCACCCCTGTTAAGTGTACAACTTACCAATTTTTAGTAAGTTTACAGAGTTGGGTAACCATCACCACAATCCAGTTTCAGAACCTTTCCAGGATTTCCAGGATCTCAAATTAATGAGCTCTTAATAGCACTCCCAGGGTATCAGTAGGGAAGTGCTTCTGCATTTCCTGGTTCACAGGAGCCAAAGGCCAGGAGGCATCCATGAGAGATTTGAGGATAAGATGAAGTTAGATTCATTCATGTGCTCCAAGCCAGTTCCATGTCCTAAGTCCATCGACTTTATAGCTAGCAACACTTGGCCCCTAGATGGACGGCAATGTCAAGTGTGTATCTGTGGATCAGGTTGGAAAGACAGGTGAGAAATTCCCAGCTTTTCTATGTGAGGAGGGGGTGATGTCCACATAAAGGGGTGGAAGTGGGAAAAGTGGGATGAGAGCTGAATAGAACAGGGAACAACGGTCGACGGAGGCAAGCAACAGGGGAGAAAAAGAAGGATTGCTTCTAAGTCAATCAGTTCCAACAACTAGATGGCTTAGTTCCTGAGCTGCTTCCCACCTGAGGGCCCGCTGCTGTGTGCTTCAGTGGGAAAGAGTCGGAAAATCTCTGCGGTATTGAAGTGTAATAATAAATCCTGCCATGCCGTGGGAACTACAATATATGGCATAATAAAAGTAAATGTTATGGCACTTGACTTCTCGGCCTATAATCTCCCATTCAATCGGAGCAGAGATTCTTCCGTCAGCAAGAGAAAACTGGACAATTTAATTTTCGTTTCTATTCATGCACAGGCCTGCTCTGGAGCTCGTCCACGTTTCCTATTATGTTACTTGAAATATGGCGGTGTAGTTTGATACACAGTATATCTCAAACCGACATCAACAACATCCTTTTAGACCAACTGATTTCATTCTAAATTACTGTGGGGCTGACAGATGCTGGTGGCTGCCCACACGAGATCTGAAAAAGCCATGTTCTCTAATTCAATATTATAATAATTTAAAATTATAGCTTTATTAAGAGGAAACAGATTTATTTATAGCTAACACTGATGATTTCTAATGGCTTTCAGGGCTGTATTCGGCTATTCATGCAGCCCACATTTGGACAGCTTCAATTGTTTGAGTCACTAACAAAACATTCTGGTACAAATAATTTCCTTCTTGATTCAAAGCAATGAACAAGTGCTACAAAAGCAGAGACACAAAGCAGCCCTGAAGGGAGGCAGTTCCTCTGCAGTGTCCTATTCTCCTTGACCAACCCACCTGTGACAGTATTTCTGCATTTGGGCCTGAAGACATTCTGTTTAAAATCCTTTCATCCCTTGGTCTCTGAGATGTTGCCAGATTCCTCTTTTCCCTTAGATAGGGACTTTTGTGAATGGTTTGGTCTTTTTGGTTTTTTTTAATGGTTTGGTCTTTAAGATCTAGGTCCTTCTTTCTCTTCTTCCATGCTAAGGATTTTATCTTCCTGACTTAACTATTCCTTCTAAGCAAACAACAGCCTTAATAATAAGCATTTCTATCACTGAGCAGCCCATCAAGTGATTTTTACAGAACTCTGGAAGACAAGGTAGGGAAGTTGGGAGGGATGTTAGTTCCCTTCGTCAATAAAGAAGCTACAGCCCAGAGAGTCTGTATAAATTACGGAACGTTTCCTGGCCTGGAGGCAGCAGCCTGCACTCACACATGGGGCTGTCTATAGGTGCCAGCCCTGCGTTCTGTCACCTGGAAGGTCCTAACGTCTACCTGCAATCCTTGCTGGCCTCTACAATGTCGACCCTCCCCAGCCTCGGCCTTCCAGCTTCCGCCTCATCCAGCACTGACTAGATCTCAAAGTCAACACACTTAAATAAATCCACATTCCCCTCCAAGCCAGTCCCCCCACCAGACATGCTTATTTCTACCCAAGTCATTTTTCCCCTACCCTCAAACCTCACAGCTGACACAGTATTCTCTCCTCCTACCTCCTCCTAAATCCAGCCTGTGCCTGAGGCCTGGCAATAATTCTCTCGAGTTGCTGCTTCCCCATCCAGCCCTTCTTTCACAATCCTATGGTGAGGCTTAATGTGGGCTCTCTCTTAACTGCCTCAAGCCCAAACTATCAAATAACCTGACTCCTTGACGCCCATCTTTCCTTCATCTGATTGGTCTCATAGAGCTCCATCAGTTAGTATCTGAATGCTTAGACCCAATCACGCCAGTTTGGTGTCAACCCAGCGCCTGCCGAATAAATTACAGAGGCTTCCCCTTCCTAACGAGTCCCGCCCAGACTTCTGTGCCCAGGGCAGCTCCCTCCGTGCGGGCACGAAGCCTCTCCTGCAGCTGATCTGTGCTCAGTTACCAGCACGCCCCATGGGATCTCCCTGCCTGCCTCTGCCTCAGCGAACCCAACTTCTAGATCCAGATAAGTCTGCCCCCCCTCCCCCCTCACCGATGGAGCCTGCCCTAGCACCCTGGGCACCAAGGAGCATCCCCAACTCTCACTGACATTACTTTCTGCCACTCAGTGGTCAGGCAGACCGTTGCTGTCACCTCACTTTCCATTTGCTATCCCAGCGGCCAAAACAGACCCGAAGCTACTGGGAGGCAGGACCTGTGCATGAGGGCCTTGCCCTTGAGTGGGTACTCAAGTATTTAGTGGCTGATTCCATGGCTGCTGATCATCGTTTCTTGCAACGCGAATAATATGTGTTACATTATTAGCTTGAGGAATTACAGCCTTCTGGGATTAACGTCTTCTTGCTAAGTGAGAGCAAACTAAGCCTCAGCAGCTCTTTCTGGGCTCCTAGATAGACACAACTGGTACTGTTTCCACGAATGAAGAGCTTTCATAGACAAAGCCACTTTGATCAAGGCCCCCACCATTTTCAAACTAGCTCATCAGACTGAGAAATATGAAATTCCTATTTTGGTGAGAGCCACCTGAGTCATCTCCAGACCCAAAGAAAACAAGGGCCAAAGGCCAATGCTTTCACAGGCAATGCACAGCCCTGTGTATTCTGGGGGAGGGAGAACACCTCCCTTCCCGTGGGAGGCCCCACATTACCTTCTCTGCCACTGGCTATCGTGCCTTAAAATGTGGGCCCTTAAAATGTTAAACCACAGTAGCAAGACCAAAAGTTCAGCAGGCTCATTCTGATGATTCCTTCTCATTCATAGCCAATTACTGCTCTGCTCTGCCCTTTAACCAGGTCAAAAGTCCAGCAGGCCAGCATTTCTATTATTATTCCGTCAGCCCAAGCTGTCAGAAGCCCTTGGCCATGCTTCCTAACTGAGCTTCTCAAAGGCTGAGGATGTGCAACAGTCTCTGGAGACAGAGCAAATATTTTTGGTCTTTAGAGTTACAGTGACACATCCTACCACCAAGTCTTCTCAAGATCAGACCAGAGACTGCAAGTCAGCAGTTGCAAAGATGCAACTCTATTAGCAGGTTCAGGAAAAAACAAAAACAAAAACAGCACCCCAAAGAGGAGTAATCCCAGGTGATGAGAAGGCTCACGTTAGGCACTCTGGTGCCTCTTATGAGCCTGCCAGTGGTCAGATGTTTGTTTCTAAATTGAGCAGCCAATGCAAAAGATGCTAGAAATCTTCCGTGTCAAATCAGTCCCTAAGAGCGGCTGCCAGAGGTTAGGGAAGGGGTGGGGAAGAGGAGGGAGGTGGGTACAGTTATAAAAAGGCAACAGGGGGGGATCCTGATGGCTATGGAATGTTCTGTATCTTGGCCGTGGTGGTAGATACACAAACCTACACATGTGACAAAACTGCAAAGAACTAAAGACGCACAAGTACTAGTAAAACTGGGGAACCTGGTGGACGTGTCCATGTCAATATCCTGGTTGGGATCTCACGCTATAGGTTCATTATGATGTTACCATTGAGAGAAAAAGGGTAACGGGTATGTAATTCTCTATTACTTCTTACAACTGCATGTCAATCTCTAATTATTTCAAAAGAAAAGCATTGAATTAAAAAGGCAAATTCCAAAATGTAGCCCTATTAATGTAGAATATTGTGACCATGACAGGAACAAATAAAAGATGTAAAGCTAATAAAAAAAATTAGTTCCTGAATCTAGACTTCTTAAAAGGGCTGTCATCCAAGTCAGACCAACAGTGGCATCAACCAGCACATGCAACCTCATGCCACCTGCGCACATCCCCAAAAGACCCTCCAACAAAACTTGTGTACCCACAGAGACTTTAACTACCTTCCCCTTTATCAAAGAGTGCTACCTTAACCTTTGAAAAACTTACCCACATTCTTAACTAAGTGGTAATTTTCATGCCAGAGCTCATTTTAAATTCAAACTCAAAACACTGAGTGCTGTGACTACAATGAACTCTGCCATTCTTCATTTTCACCCATTCACCTTTTTTTCCACTAAATAGGTATATCACTAGAAAATATGAATGTAAGTGCTAACGTCCACTTCTACAAAAGGTTTATTTATCACTTCTTTTCATTAGACTGTTCTCCTGAGGTCAGGGAGATTAGAAATCCCAGGCACTCTGTTTTAATGTGGAAACCACCATCACTTCCCCTTCTTTATAAAACTGTGACATTTAAAACCAACCATGGGCTATTAGCCTTTCACTGAAATGGCTGTGTTAGTTCTCATCAGGCTGCTTAAGAAGGCAAGTCAAACTCTGAAGTTCTCTTAAAATTTTTGCAAAGAGAAGCCAGAAAGCTCTCCTTACTCACCGATGTCATTGCTGCGGTCCGAGAGATCCTTGTCCAGGATGCCAGAGATCGAACTGCCCACCAAGTCAATCTTTGGACCGTCACCCCTACATTAAAAACACAAGTCCAAGCATTTAAAAATTGGTGTGTGCCCTTGTCATTTTATCAGCTTTCTTGCTGCACGCGCATTAAGGGGCATGCTGTGCGTGGGGCGGGTGGCACTGTCGCCTGTGCCTGTGAGGGAGCCAGTGGGAGCCAATGACCTATCCAACCACACGGGCCTTGGTGAAACTGGCTGACAGACTGGATGCCCACCTCTCCAGCACACATTTTCAGAGATGGCTATTTTAATAATGACTGTTCAGCAATACACCTTTAGCCACAAACCCTCCTGCTGGTACACAGGGTACAGCGTAGGGCCTGCTCCCGCCCCATGGCCAAATAAGCACCAGCAAATGATAACTGGGAGCTTCCCTTTTAAGGAGCAAGGAATTTAGCCAATGCTGCTTGTCAAAGGTCGGCTACTTTTAACCTTGAGAAAAAGGTTTTCTGGCCTGAGGCGGAGGAATCAGCCAGGCTGTTGACAGGCACAGGGGGTTGAGTTTAAGATCTGGCAGCCTGAAGGCTGGCGCTGGGGCACAAGCCTGTAAAATTAGACAGCTCTTGGGTGGGTGCCCCCATGCCCATCAGGACACGAGTGACTTCCCTCTGTATCTGGGCTAGGAACAGCCCCAAGGAATGGGAACAGGCCTCTGAGATGATGAGAGAAGTAGCTCACTCGTGCATGAACAGAAGGTTCCTCCAAATTCCCCCAAAAGGGCAGTTCTCTAGTCCCTTTCAGGGGGATGAGCCCCGAGTGAGATTATCTGAGGTTTATGATGGTAGTGAAAGCGGAAAAGATCCTCACCCATAAAGTGAGAGGGAGAAGCCAAGCAGTCGTTCTGGGAAAGCAACAGAAATAATCCACCTCATGGCTCTTGGCAGTCATCATGGCCTGAAGCCAAACCACACAATGAGTAGCAGAGTTACTCAAAGGAGCGCCTGTCTGATACCTAGCATGCAGGGGGTATTGAGAGGGCCAAGCCAGGTAGTTCCTACTCTGGAGGGGCTCACGGTCTAAATGCGAGAAAGACAGACAGACACAGGCCCACATGGCACAGGCTATGCAAGAGACAGGCATATCAAAGTCGTCTGGAAAGGACTGGATCAGGGCAGGGACCTGTGTGGTGTGGCAAGGGGCACGTAGGGGAGGTGGCATTCCAGCCGGGCCATGGGAGAAAAGGGAGAGAGGGCATATCAGGAGGAGGTGCGGTAAAACCAGGACCCCAGGTGGGTGGGAGTGCCTGGTGTGGCCAGGGGTCCCGGGGCTAAAGCCTGAGGTCCCCAGAGGGTAGTGAGAGCAGAAAGGTCAGCAGAGTCAGACTGCCAGGCTGAATACTAGAGGGTTCTGTTTGTCCTGGGGGTAATGGGGAATGGAAGGATAGCTGAGCAGGAGACCTGTAAACCTGGGGACAAGGGAGGGACTCAACAGGGCCGAACCCGGTGTCTTTGCGCAAGAAGGGCCGGTGGTAGTAGCATTCAGCGAGATTCGCATGTCCTTGTGATGGTGGAGGAGGCCCAGTGGAAGGAGGCAAGCCCCCGTCAGTTCTCAAGCAAACAAGCCTGATCTGTAACCTCCAGTGTAACGTCAAGTACCCTCAACCGAAGACAAGCAGAGGTAAGAACTCCAGGGTGACAGGGCTGGGCCGAATGGCCTGACTTCCACCAAGACAAAACACAGCTCTCACGCTGTGGGTGTGTATTATGAGACTTCCTGGGCTTTTCAGAGCTCAGCCGAAGTAAAAGTTCAAGAAGAGCGTGGACTACTGTGCTTGGAAGGGGGAAGCAGCTTGAGCTTCAGAGCAGAGCCTTTATTTCCCACCTCAGCCCTGCCTCCTAGGGCCTTGGGGGCCCCCAGGCCAGGCTGCTGGAGCAGAGCCCCTCTCCATGCCCAGCCACCAAAGGGCAGGTCCCATAGGACTCCCTCCCTCAAGCAGACCCCAAGCCAACAGCAACGATGAGACTGAGGAAATTCATTTCAAAACATTCTGCTGGCAGGGCCCCAGTGGCTACCAGTTTGAATGTAACCTTCTGGATGAAATGTTTTGTAAATGCACCATTATTTGTAGGAAAAGCATTTTTATTTTTAAAAGTTCTCAAGGGCTCTCAATCTTATTATTTTCTAACTATAGAGTCGGAATGGTTTGGTGCTGTCATTCTCCAAACTAACACAACTCAAATTATACCCAGGGCCAGACAGTCCTGTCCTTTTGGGAACACAAGGACCAAAACCTGTGAGAACATGTGTTCTGTTCAGGGAGAAAGGTCATTCAGGCAACAAAAGTCCAGTTAATAATAATAAAAAAAAAAGTCCAGATAATTCCACTGGGCTTTTTTTTTTTTTTTTCCCCCAAGGGGAAAACTGGTTTGAGGTGACACCATGGCGGATGGCTGGGCAGAGAATCCGAGGGTGTGCTGGTGGGAGAACGAGCTTTATGTAGCAGCTAATGATCTGTATCTCAGAACAGCTCAGCTTGGTTGCTTCTGAACATTTGGTTTATTCGTGCATTTTGGTAACTATGAATCTTTGGAGCCGCCACTTCCCTCTTTGATTTGACAGCTAGAAGCTTCCAGTCAAATGTGAGCCTATCTTGAGGGACTGTAGAGAACCCTACTGCTCATTACTGTGCTCATCTTATCTTGAGCTATATTACTTTTCTACCTTTATTTTCTCCCTTACTGTCACTCTCAACTATTTTATTCTTGTAGATGCATTTTGGAAAGTTACCACAAAGCCTTTGGGGAATGGTTCAGGGTAAAAAGAAGTAATTTCTAAGAATAGGGTGTATATCAATAGCATTTAAAATGGGCATCTGCTTTGGCCCAGTTCTGGGAGGCTATGCTAAAGAAATAGTCTGAAATGCCCAAGTGGGTTTTGTAGATCAATATGTTTACCACAGTCTTATTTGTAATAAAGAAAAATTAACACTGAAATCTTTCATGAAGAGGGGAACAGTCGAGTAACCTATATTTGGTGGACTTTTATATAGTCATGAAAATGATATTTAGAAACACATTATGACAAGAAGGACAAAGGCTGATATTACAGTGGCAAAGGACAGCAGCAAGTTAAAATGACCCACTCTTCCATGCACATATACCCACATGCCCTGCTTGGGTATCAGGAAGGGGGACTGTTATTTAAGACTGGAAAAATATTTACAGTGACTATTCCTGGATAATGTGATGGGTGATTTTTAGCACCCAGCTCAGCACCTGGTACATGGCAGGGGCTCAAAAACACTTGTGGAATCAATGAATATTTGCCTTTGTTCTGAAATGGGAATGCATCATGTATTTTTGTACAATAGATGCATTTTTTTTCCCCAAAAGCTGTAGGACACTCAGTATGATCCTAACTAAATAAAACCAATGAAAAACAAACCAAATCATACACAGGGGAAAAGATGGAAAATAAATTGTCCAAAATGTTAATAATAGTTGTCTCTGGGATAAGACTGTAAGTAAAATTTTTCTTTCATTAAAATTCACTTTTAACAACAGAGACCCATACAATTCAGGCAGCTTATGTTCTCTCTCCTTTCTCCACAGGAGTATTGCCAAAGTCAAAGGTGAGATGATCTGGCCCTTGCCTACACATTCCTTTAAGAACCTCCCTGACCACAGGTGCCCCTGTCATCACCTGTGACCACATCCGGAGCTCACCTGGGAACCAGGTGGGGGTGGGTGGAGTTATAAATCCTAGACCAAGAGGTCTAAGCCATGAGGGAACACCTGAAGAAAGGAAGTACCATCCCTGAGCAACCTGTCCCCAGATGCTAAAGCACCAGCTGCACTGATAGGAAGGAGCTTAGGATCCCCCCGTCTCTCTGAGCCTTGATCCCGAATGCCAAGAGCCAGACACAGGCTTTCGGCTGAAATTATCTTCTATACAGGGCCAGAAGCAAGCCTATTTTGAAAACACAGTAGGTGTCGTTTAAAAAAGGTTCTGATCCTTCCAAGTAAGGAAGCTGCAGCTGGTGTTTTGACAGTGTTCAGACTGTGGGTGTGGAAGCGTTTTACAATGTCTATTTGTAAATGCTTTTCACTGTATTTATAGACTCTTACAACAATGCTAATGAATTTCAGTTCTGAAAAATACCAGAATTTCTGAAATTCTCCAAAGCACATGCTTGGAGTGGCTGACACCCAATGAGGCTGCAGCCCTCGATGGTCTCTGCTCTCCTCCAGTCTTCCCGACACATGGCTACCATTTTGGTAAAAAGGATGTTACTAAATCCAACGAGAAAAGAAAAACCCAGTCCTCTAGCCCCCAAGAGGGTTTATGTATGCTGAGTTTCTATGCCCACAGCTGTCGGATAAAAGGGGGAAATAAAAGAAAGCAGGCATATTACCATATAGTCAAAGATACCAGAACAAGGTTGCCCTTACTCCTTTCTGATTTTTAAATCCAAATGGTGCTGTTGTCTCGTATTTTTCTCAGCAGTTTTGGTTATGGACCCTCGAAACATGTGACTTGGACAGGCGACTGGCAGGGAAGTCTCCTTGCCCTACTGGACAGGGAGCCTAAATTGCAGATAATGGGTTGACTAGCTCAAGGACACCAGTAGGAATAAGTGGAAACTACCATGGCATAGAAATAAGAGCAGCAGCTACTGACTACTGACTGCCAATCATGAGCTAGGCACCAGGACAACCTCCTATTGTCTGTTATTCGATGGTCACATCCATCTCCTTAAGTATCTACTCTGCATGGTGGACATAGAGCCACACTGCCCGGAGTCCCCTCTGGTAAAGGGCTGGATGCTCCTGCTGCTGGGAGTGCTGTTGGCCTCTCCAGGGACTTCCTCGGTTACAGGGAGCCTCCTCCACCAAGGCATATTCTTGCTAGGGTGGCCCACCTGCCACAGTATAAAAATCTTGGCCAGTTCCACCCAACACAGGACAACTCAGAGGAGCTGTTTCAGCCCCTGTGTGGACTTGGCCAAGGCTTTGGTGAGCTAGTATCGCAGCTTGTCTTCTCTCTCTGCCCAGAACTGCTCCCTTC